GAGAGGGAGGGGGGGGGAGAAAGGAAGGGGAGGGATTGGTGCAGACAAACTCTCCGACTCCCCAAATGAGAAGGAAAAGACACGCACAACAATGAACTCTCCAAACGAGAAGACAAACTTCAAAAAGATAGAAAATATGCCCGCGCGCTCATATGGCCTTATGCAGTTGCGAGCGCCGTAAAATACTCACCAAAAAAAAAAAAAAGAAAGAAAAAAGATAGAAAGTATGCTCTTCAACCCCTCAAACGACAGAGAAAAGACAGAAACACTCTCTAAGTCGACCTAATTTTAGGATGTTCACACTGTTTCAATTAATTATGTTCTTGATTTTGTTGAATGCAAAACCTACAGAAGGAGTTTGCTGCACTGACCACTGAATTTTAAAATGTTCAGTATGTCCCCATCGATTAAAAAAGTACAGTATAAGCTTTTACTTTTTAAAAATCCTCTCTTATAAGTTTATAACACCCCCCCCCCCCTCCTTTTTTTATAGCATTGGAAACTGTGACGTTTTCAGTTAAATGGACGATGGAATCAATAAATATATTATGGCGTTTTATTGGACGATCTACAAGAAACATACAAATCATACAACAAAATGCTTATATAGAGACCTATTCATAGAAATGTAGCCTACTCTGTACATGTAAAACTAGGTATTTGTTTCTATATTAACAAAATAGGTTCAGTATTTCACAGCAAGGGGAAAATAACCGTTTCTTTCTGCTCGTTTTTTGTGTCTCGACACAGAGGAATCAGGCACTCGTCAATTCTGGGGCACATGGGGTTAATAAACGGATTACCTGGGGTTGTAATCTCTGGCTCAGTCAGAGGTTGACGTCATTTAATGACCTGCCACTACTTACGGTCAAAAGCTATTGTTAAGTTATACGTCAGTCCTTAGTCACTTAGGTCAGCCCATGCTTTCTTGATGATGTTATCAGTCCAGGTTGTTTTTGTTTTTTTGTCCAGCCTTGACTCTTTTGCCCCACATCTTGGCCTTGAGTATTTCCTTCATAATAGTCTTGTGGAGACGTTTTCTACGAGGGAGAGTCAAAAAGTAATGCGAGTTCGTTTATAACTTTAAAACAACAACAACAACAACAAAACACTTGCGACTATCATACCTCAAATTGAAGGGGGAAAATCTCAGGATCAGATTTCTATGTCTCAACACTGTCTCCATTTTGTTCACTAGCCACTGTCCACGTTTTATCAAGTTCACACATGTCAGCTTTGTCAAACTGAGCAGGTTGGTCTTTGGGGTGGTACAGCAGTCTTGATTTCTCCATCGTGTCCATAGTGTTGATCCCTCAATGATATTTTTCGAGGACCCAACAGGTGGAAGTCTGAAGGTGCCAAATCAAGAAAATCAGCTGGGTGTGAAAGTGCTTTCCATCCAAACGGGGTGATTGTCTCCCTTGTTCTGGTATTCGTATGCATGCTGGCATTGTCATGGTGAAAAAACAACAACACTCTTTCCAATTTCAAATTTGGTCCGACTCGTCGAATTCTAGCTTCCATTCGTTTCAGTGTTTCAATGTAGGCTTCAGAATTGACAATTGCTCCTCGTGGTCCAAAAATTTGTGAGATGCACTCTTTGAATGTCCCAAAACACGGTTGCCATGATTTTTTCAGCTGATTCTTCGGGACTATGCTTGTCTGACAAACACACGGAAACCTCTTCATCTTCTTCCGGTTCTTTGCTCAAACGTCTAACCCATCTATATACAGTGCCAAAACTTAGAGCTTGGTCCTTGTAAACATTTTAAGCCTCTTTATTTTGGATGTTACTGATGTAGTCTCCTTCTGAAACAATAAAGTCAATCACAGCCTTTTGATTCTGACAGACCTCAAAGGGGGGCAGCCATTTTGACGTGACGTCATTCAGGCGAAAATGAAAGAAACTTAAATTTTAACAGTTTTAGTTCACAAGTTCATGTTCAAGTACTTGTAAGCTGAATTTCATATAATTTGGTGGAAAATTGTGCAAAATAACTAACAACTTGCACTACTTTTCACTTTGTTAAGTAGGGTTTGTCTTGTATGGAAAATCTAAAACACCTCATTGTTAATGTTATTCTTTTTTGTGCGCTTTCCAGCTTATTGTGGCCATTCCATGGTAGCTCCACATCTCAAACGCAGATTTCTTGTTTTTATAAAATCTTTGTTGAAGTCCAGGTCCCTGCGCCATGTAGGAAAATGGGGAAGATGTAGCACTCCACAAACTTCTTCTTTTAAGAATCTTAAATCCTTTAAGGCCTTGGTGTAAATAAATGGAGTCATTGACGACATCGTACTTATTACTTGTGTGAAGGACCGACAACACTGCACAAGGGGCATCCTCATGAGCGCTCCGTCCCCTGAAGAAGCACATCTTGAAGTGTGTAGATGCTGACGATTCCAAACAATGGTTGATTCCATAGCCTTCTGCTCCTCCCACTAAGTCTTGATCTTCTCTGCAGGCGCCCCATCCAACTCCAAGCTCACGAAGTCGCTCAAGATGATGGTATTCCGATTCTTCTTGTTCTTTTTCCCGTTTTCCCCTGACTGAACGCACAATTTCAGGGTTGTCAGGGCACAGCTTTTCTTCAGGTTTTGCTTTCCCAGCGAGCTCATCAGCCCTCTCATTGCCTTTGACTCCAGCATGGCCCGGGGGTGAAGATCCAGGTGATCTTTTCAGTGTCGTCTTCTTCAGGAGGTCTGTCTATTTCAAAGCTAGATTTCTAATTTATTTGGCTTACTTTTGGTGAAAGAATACTTATCCATATTGAAAAGAAGTCACCGAGACCGAAAGAGGTGTGGGTCGCCTGGTGTCAGAAGCAACATACTATACGGAGAAAATGGCCGCCAAACTTTGGTGACTTTCAAATCTTGAGTGTCCTTTGAACTGCAAATGTATATCTACTTTTTCTGACATTGATCATCTTTTGTCAGCAAAATACAAACAGAAAGGGTTGTTGAGAAGAAAAAAATTCCATCAAAATTACCCAACGGTTATCTGAATTCAAATGGGGAGAGAAGCTGACGGACTGAAATAAAAGAGAGGCTGAGTGAGAAGGGCGTGGTAATGTTTAGGAAACCCAACATATTCACGTTCAGTTAACTATATTGGCAATTTAGTAATGTAATTCATAGGAAAAGCATACGGTTTTCCCTAGGATATCCCTCCTAGTTAGTTCTTTAACCCTATCCTATCCGTACGTCCTGGGGTCATTTTGTAACCCCCCCCCCCGGGTGTTGTATTCTTCACCTTTCAGAATAATTCTAGTTCTAGTACGAAGTTCTCTTTGAAGCTTTGAGTATTTCTCTAAAAATCATCTTGACAGAATGCTGTGCAAAGCATACGGATCGGATTAACGAGTAAATTTCTTCTTTGTCCTGGGTTTGAATCCGGACAGCGACGGAAATTTTCGTCTCTAAAATTTTCTCCTTTCGCACTCTTTCCGGCTTTCTAACAATGTTCTGTTGTCTGATTTCGTCTCCACTTTCTGCCCCCACCCACCCCTCACCTCCTTTGCCCCCTCATCTGGGCTCCTGACTCTTTCAGTAGCCTCTCTACTGTTACTCCTTGGCTCCTTCTTACTGCTGTCTTTCAGCCACACCCCTGATCTTCTGGTTAAATTAGGAAAGATCTACACCTAGCCTTCTCAGCCAAGAGTGAAAAATCTCGGAGGTCCCGTGTGCAAGTTGTGCACATTAAAGATCCCTTGGAGGTCCAAAACCGATAAAAGTAGGCTTCAGTCGCCATCCGGGCAAAATTCAAAATTTCCGAACCAACTGAAAAATGTTTAATGTGTCCCGCGCGCTCATATGACCTTATGCAGTTGTGAGTCCCGTAAAACACTTACCAAAACAAACAACAAAAAATGCCGAAGATTTGTTACCCGTTGGGTCGCCCCTGACAGTGACTGACAGTGACAGATGACAACAAACCTCCTCCTCTCCTCTCGGCTCTCTGCTTTCCTCAGTGTGTCCCGCAGCTCCATGGCTGTCCATTCTCGGATGTTATCCTCCCATCTCTTCTTCTGTCTGCCTAGACCGACTAGATTCTAGCCGGTATGATTTTTCTTTTCATTGTCGTTTTCATCGGCTTGTATTGGGCAATGTCGCATGGCGGAGCCCACCCCTCTCTATGTCAAGCCACAGCCGAACTCCTTCTATGCATGCTTTTGCCTCAAACACGGAGTCGTTGAGTTCTACTTAGAACCCTTTCACCTTGCTTCAAACAAACAAAAGCAGTTTAGTTTTAGTAGAGGTTTTTCGAATCTCGCAACTGCGTTAGGTCATATGAGCGCCAGAAGATTAGAGAGTAAAAAACATAAAAAAAGAAGAAGGGGAGTTAAGGACGATAGATATTTGACAGGAACGAAGAAACAAACCACTCAAGAGCACCCGCCAACCGCCCAAAAACAAAAGCAAGACTCTTATACTTATAGTAAAAGTGAGTGTGTCGCACCAATGTGTATCCTCAAATTATGAATTAACAAAGCGTTTGCTTCCTACGGTGTAAAGTTATTATCTATAGGGTCTATATGACATCATCAGATCGTGCGCGGCGATGAGTTTTATTCATTCATTTACTTTTTAGTCTGTAAAATTAAACTTCCGCCTCCGGTACGTCCATATTTGGCAGTGACAAGAGCTCCAATGTCGTGTGTCAAATCAACATCATCATAGACAAGAGAAAGGCTCACTGTTGATCATAAACTTGTCTACAGGTCTAGCTGAGCGGAGCCGTGACAGACGTTGTTCTGAGAAGCAGCTGAAGAAACATCTAACATTACTAACAAGCGTGATCTAACTGCAAAGAGAAGGGGGCACACCAGAAGCCTAAATCTGCCATCAACTTTTCGCCCCGCAGCCAAAAGTAAGGTGAGTAGGTGAGTGAGCCCAGCGAATTGTATCAATTAGATCTAGATCTAGATCTAGATATCTAGCTAAATAGAAATCTAAGAATTTAAAACTGAATCAGCGAAAGAACTTGTTTTTCGGGAGGGGGGGGGGGGTATGCTTGGGAGCTGCTTGGTTTTTACTGTATGTTTCCGTCTAAAATTAGATCAATGGCCTTTAAAAAAAAAAAAAAACAGAACCACCGGGTTTTTTTCGCTCGTCTGTTGGGATGCCTTACATACGGTAAACCAGAATAACTACTGCCTGGTGCAGTATTTGTCTAGTGGCTGCGTCAACATTGTTAGTCTATTCTCTATTTGTCGCCCTCTATCTATCTATCACCATTTGTCTATCTCGTTCTGTCTACAAGTACCATTATCTATCTATCTATCTATCTATCTATCTATCTATCTATCTATCTATCTATCTATCTATCTATCTATCTGTCTGTCTGTCTGTCTGTCTGTCTGTCTGTCTGTCTGTCTGTCTGTCTGTCTGTCTGTCTGTCTGTCTGTCTGTCTGTCTATCTCTACCCGTCTTTCACTTGGTGTCCATTCTCTATCTGCTTATCACCATCTATTTCAGTCTGTTTATCTTTGTCCGTTTATCATATCTGTCTATCTCTATCCGTCTATCTAGGCACCTCAGTGAATTTTTCAAACTCCTTCAAGGGCACTGAAATAAAAGAGCTTGGCATTATGTTTTCAGAGATTTAAAAATTATTGTGAAATGTTTGTTAGTTCAGCAGCGACCATTTTTGTAAATCAATTTTCGCCCGATTTGGCTAAATTTTTACATTGCATTTTGTGCCATCAAACCTCCAAATTTTGCTTCAAAACGCCTTAAAATCCTTAATAATAATACTTGTATCATTGTGGTATCATTTTGTTTGTTGTTTTATGTAGAATCAAAAAGTAACGCCACCAAACAACTAGGATAGTAAAAGAAGCTAAGAACAGATCCTGGACAGTATATATGGAGAACAGCTTGCAACAAAATGTAAAGAAGACCCCAGAGAGTTTTACACGAAAGTTAAAAGCATGAAGATGCGGGAAGAACCATCCAACCCAACTGAAATAGTCAATGACGAGAACAGAAATCCTATTTTCAGGAAGCCAAAGAATAAGATTAAGGAATGATGGAAACGCTATTTCTAGGAGCTGCTGCATCCTACAGGAGAAAGAACATCAAACAGCTTCTCAACGAAAGAAACCACCCAAGGACCATCAATACTGCTGGGTGAAACCCAACATGTTCTACAGAATAGATACACAAACAAAGCGCCAGGCGTTGATAACATCACAGCAGAAGATATAAAGCTATGCGGCAATATCGGTGAACTCTGGCTTTGGAGGACATTAATTAACCTGGATACTGGCTAGGGCGACAATTACAGCACCCGATGACTGGCAACGAGCTGTCATTGTATCTTTTTGGAAAAAGAATGGTAATACAACAGACTGTGGAACCTACAGAGGAATATTCCTTCCCAGCCATGTGGGTAAAATGTTTGCCAAGATACTGAAATAAGAATGAGACCAATTGTAGAGACTCTACTCAATGACAGACAGAGAGACACAGGGAGAGAGAGAGAGAGAGAGAGAGAGAGAGAGAGAGAGAGAGAGAGAGACGGCGCGATGTCACGGTTGAATGGTTCAGCCAGTTTTTTGTTGATTTGGTTGATAAAAGGGTAAGACGACTACACTAGCCAAGGTAAGACTTCTAAGATAACCATTCATTTAAACGTTTTCTGGAAGATCAAAGACTGGTTTACATGTGTATATGATCAACAAGGGTAGATCTAGTTTGAAAAAAATATGACGAGAAGAATTAAGAAAAAACAATGGTTATAAATTGTCTACTTTTCAAGTTGAAATATCTCGGGACTCGTGAGTCGCACATCAACTTGGGAAAAAAAAAAACGTTTTGAAGGCTATCCAAAGGTCTTTAATGACATGTATCGGACTTGGTTGTTGGTCCCCTAAATTAAACAAAAATGTGGGCCGATTGAACCCACTGTCGCAACGAGACGTCATGTCCGGAAACACAACTCAATGGGACTTTCCGTAGCCGAATCACGCTGTAGTGAGCGCGTTCACTGTAGTGCCTAGTCAATCACTGTCTATCGCCATCTGTCTCTATCAGTCTGTCACTAGATTTATCACTATCTCTCTATCACTATCTACTATCTGTCTTCATCTTCTATCATCATCCTTCTATCACTACGTCTTTATTTCACTATAGGTCTATATCTACCACTATCTGTTTATCTATTAGTCTGTCATCATCTCCCTATCACGATATATATATATATATATATATATATATATATATATATATATATTTATCCCCATCTGTCGATCTCAATCTGTATGTCACAATGTCACTATCTCTCTTTCACTTCTGTTTCTCACTATCTGCCTACCACCATCTCTTAACCGTCTCATCGCCAGGTCCGGGGTTGGAAAACTGGTACGGCCCCTTATGAGCAACATTTCCATCGCATCCACCAATGACTCAAACCTTTGCTCTTGAGTTGACAGCCGCCCTCGCATACCATTGACCAGAAGAGGAACAGGTTGCTCTTTCATTAAAGAAAGTCAGGCTCCACCAACATCGGAAACAGACTAGAGCTGGAACCACAAAGTCTATCATGTTTTTGGGCAGAACCGTACCCTATCGCACTGAATCGTGAATTCCTTCGGTGCCATATTATTGACTTACTACTTTACTTTTTTCGGCCTGTTATCTTAAGGTGTCTAGGGAAGAAACAAGCGTCATTCTCTAGTTTGTTAAAGATCTATTGCCTGGTGCATGGTTGCATGGTTGTATTGTTTTTGTTTAATGCTTCTCTGGCCCCATCTATCCATCTTTTCCATCGTTTTAGTGGGACTGCGTTGATTATAGGCCTACTGTACGACCAGAGCTGAGTCATGAAGAAAAGAAAAGACGGAGAGAGAAAAATGAACAAGTTAGCCCAGAGCGTCGTGTACTATGCGGAGAACGAACTACCACCCGGTCCAGGCTGCAACGTGCGTATCTCAGAACTGATGCCGAGAGCCGCCAGGGTAGGTCGCTTGAAGTGGAAGAGTAAGGCCCATGAGTCACAGAGGCGGGAATATTATCGCGATGATGGGAAATCGGCGCTGCCTTCTTTGCCGCGTCAGCTGACGACAGCCGTGACGTCACGGAAACCTGGTCACGTGGTGTCTTCTAGGCGCGGGGTTGTGGAAAAGACGGGGGAGCTTCTAACTGGTCAGTCGTCATCCTGTAGCTCCAGCGCTACTGTCGTGAGGTACAGGGGTTCTAATCCCACAGCAAGCGCAGAGAGCTGCCAGTTCCCCGCCGTCAACGACGCTGCCTTGAGAGGGAAGGCCAGGGTCAAGGCTAGAGATAGTTGTGTCCGCACGGACGTCGGGCTGGGGTCAGTGGCCGCGAGTTTTATCTCTGCGACCACCCACCACCAGGGAGCGATGGTCTCAGCTGCGGCCACCCACCACCAGTCTAAGGCCACCCACCAAAAGGGGGCACCTGTTTCTGCACCCACCCACGACCAGCTTGCGGCCATCCACGATCAGGGAGCCGGGATCTCGTCGGTCGGCGTGAGGCCAATATCGGTGAGTGTGGCGGGCAACGCAGCGTCCTGTTGTCGCAAACGACACAACAAACAACGCAAACGGGGGTGTGGTAGTGGTGGTGGTGGTGGTAGTCACAGTTATAGTGGATGTAGTGGTTGTGAGAGTCACAGCCAGGTGTCACTGGTGAGTCACACGGCTGGCATCACCACAGACACAGATTCCTGCCGCAAACGTCACCACCGTCGTCACATTAAACGTGGCATCTGCCATAAACGTCACCATCGTCAAAAACGTGACTCGTGTAACAAACGTGACATCTGTCACACGAGAGGACTGCCCACCGTAGGCACATCTAGGGCGGTCACAGGCAGCTTCAAGACGACCAACCTCACCCTGTCCCCGGACCTGGGATGTGCTGCAGCCGTCAGAAAGAAGATAGTTCCTGCGTCAACAACGGCAACAACTACAGGGATAACTTCTACGACTTCTACTACTATAACTGCAACAACTTCCTCCAACACCGGCGCGAGACTGATCCAGCCTCCAGCTTTTTCCTGTAACGATAACAAGGCCGGGGGTTCTGTCCATATGAGGCCCAGTTCTGCACGAGTCAAGCGCCTGACTTCTGCTTCATCAATGGCGCCCGTCTCCACCTCGTCCATGGCCTCTGTTCCCGCCTCGCTGCGCTCGCACAAGCCGTCCAGACGATATAGGAAGTGTAGGAAGCCCGGCTGTGTGTCGGTGGCCAGAACCGTTACTGTGTCCTCGTCGGTGCACCCGCCCGCACAGTCCGCAGGGAGACCAATCGGGCGAGGGGTGTCTGCGTCATCTCCCGTGCGTGACGTCATCGGTGGTATGACTACCCAGCCCTCGGCTCACTCCCACAGCCCTGTGAGAGCTACCATCACCAGCACCGCGAAGGACTTGAGGTCAAAGGTGAAAAACGCGGCTGGGGGGAAGGACAAGCCTTCTAGCCTCGACCATACCAGCCATGTCGCCCCCTACACCTCCCCGCCCACACCTCGCAGTCGTCATGGCAACACAAAGGCGCCAACACGCCCCGTCGCTCGCGCGCTGTCGCAGAAGAGCTGCGGCTTGAAGAGGCGGGCGGACACTAAGGTCAGCTCGGTGGGGTTGCGGCCGGTCGGGGCCGGGGCTGGGGGTGTGGTCACGGGGATACACGCCCACCAAGAGAACAGTCTGAACTGGTCCAGTCCGCACAAACAGGCGGAGAATCCAGGCCACTACGAGGACACGGAAGAAGTCCAGGTGGAGCTGAGGAAACACTGGACTCTGGGCCAAAGTCTGGCGGAGGACATCGAAGCTGTGAAGGTGGAGAACCACCACAGGCAGCAGCAGCACAAGAGCAGCAAGAAGATCAGCAGCAGCAGTGGTGGTAACAAGAAGCGGATCGTTCGCTGCTCGGTGGCCAGCGCTAACTCAGGCGGCAAGCCAAACTCAAACACCCTTGGGCCCGCCCACCGAGACGTCATCAAGGAAAAAGCACGTCTGTCGGCGGCCGCCGCCTTCCAGGGGAAAATCCTCGCCGCGTCCCCCGCCGCGCGAGAAACCACCGCGCCTCCGTCCCCCGCACCGGCACGGGCGCAGCAGCTGTTGTCCAGGACGGGGTCGCCGTCTACTGGTTCTAGTTCCCCCGGCGGGGGTGGAGGAGGAGGAGGAGGAGGCAGCAGTCACACGACGACACCACGCAGCTCCAAGTCCTTGGTGGAGGAGTTCCGGGCCAGACTGAGGCGCGGGAAGGGCAAGAAGTCCATCTTCCCGTCCAGCGTGCCCGTGGTGAGCTACAAGACGCCCGACTCGCGCCGCCAGCCCAAGCTCCGCAACATCCCGCAGACGTACCAACAGCTAGGCTTGGCCCCTCTCACTCGCAGCCCGTCCAGCGAGAACTATTTCCCTAGGATCGCCTCCGTCCTGCGCGCCGGGCAGCACAGGCAGCAGACCTTGGGGATGAGGCCCAAGAAGCCGATCAAGAAGCAGCACAAGGTCAAGGCCGGGGAAAAGGGCAAAGGTCAGCGAGCGGGTGGAAAGGCCAAGAGGAAAGATTCTGATAGAGAAGTAACAACTGCGACAACAACAACATCAATAACAAAGTGGAGGCGGAGGAGGGGAAGGAGAAGTGGTCATAGGAGCAGCGGGTCTAGTCTGTTCTCGGGAGGCAAGCGGAGGAGGAAGAATGGGACGGAGAAGAGAGGCAGCTGGGGGGAGCTGTCGCTTGAAATGTCCTCCGGGCTGGGGCAACCTTTGCCCCTTGTGCCCGCACGATCTTTGACCTCGGCGCGGGCACGACCTTTGACCTGTCTTCGGAGACAGGCAGTCGTGCGCGGTCAACTGGCCCTGATGTTCCCTGTGACTGCCTCCATGACTGACATGGTTGCGGCGTTCTGAGAGGGAGAGGGAAAACGTCTTCTCGCTATTGTTCTTGTTCTTCTTCTTCCTCCTCCTCCTCATCTTCTTCTTCCAGTTCTTGTTCTTCCTCCTCTTCTTTTTCTTCCTTCTCTTCATCGGCTACTTTTTCCTCTTCTTCTTTTTCTTCTTCATCTTTCTCCTCCTCTTCTTCCTGTTCTTCTTTTTCTTCATCTTCCTCCTCTTTATCGGCTGCTTCTTCCTCTTCTTCTCCTTCTTCAGGAGCCACCAGTAACACATCGGAGGCCATGTTTCGCCCCTCATTTCTCTCCCGGTTGTTCTCAGCAAGCATACGTGTAGGACTACATAGATTATAAATTAAATGTATTATCTTGTCATTCCCAGTGCATCTGCTCACATTCTCTGAATAAGACACATCTAGTGCCAGACGAAAACCCAAACGAAACAGAAGATTGGTTCTTGTTCCTCTCTGCAAGATTTAGGCTCTACAAATCTTCATCATCATCATCGCTTTTCTCAACCTGGATCAAGGTATAGGTCACAAACACTTTCTACTTTTCCATATCCTGGGCTAGCTAGCCTCTTGGCATTATTCCAAGTCGTCCCTCTCTTCTTCTGTTCATCCTTTTCTGTGACTCTTCTCCAGGTTTCACATGGTTTCTCCTTACTACATCTCTTACCATGTAGATTCCCATCCAGCATGTTCTTTGTTAGCTGTGCGACAGCCTGTCTTCCTGAGGACTGATGGATTGGTATGTCCAACCCATCGCCACATCCTTCTTCCCACTTCTTCTCTGACTAAGGCTATGTATTGTTCTCCTTATACATGTATTACTTTCTCGTTGGTGACCTTACCTGTCCACCTGCACTACTATGAGCCTCGCCCAAAATCAGTCCTCTTCAACAGATTTCTTTTATTACATTTTTTATTTTATTTGAAGCGGAATAGTTTCCAAATTCGAAGCTCTAATAATGTTAGCGCAACCAGCATCTGTGATGTAGCACTCATTCCCATAAAGTAATAGTAGTGGTAGTACATGTAATCTATATGATATACCGTTGGCCTATTTCATGTTGTAATTATAGTTTGTATCTAATATACTCTGCGCCTTTCTTGTCTCCAGGAACTTAAGGGAAAAAAAGACTGAAATGTTATTGCTTCAAGTGAAAAGAGGGGGCTGCGGTTCAGATTTTCATTATCATGATTGCTTTGAACTGGTCTGCCTGCTTCCCAGAATTGCCAATGTGAATAAAAATTGATCAATGGTCTTATTCTCTGACAGTGTAACTTTGTTTTCAACACGAAAAAAGAACCTTTGCTGAGTAATAATAAAATTATGATGAGAAAAGACACAACAGTTAGCCCACGGTACTTTTGCGCTTTTTACAGCGCAAGCCGACTCATCAAATACACAAACTCATACACACACACATTTATACATGATGTATAATGAAACTTTTGATGGATCTCAAGTATAAAAATTTTTTTTTATCATGTTTAGCCCTCATCAACAAAATTTTGATAATTTAGGTGGCAGGCTTCCAACCCTACCTGTCAGGGCCATCCGTGGCAGAGGGAGAGAAACACAACATCTGAGCAGAAGGAAGACGATACTCGTCAGAAATTTCACACCATTCAGGAACTGAACTCGGATCCCCTGTGTGTGGTGACAAAAAAATGTCTAGCCAGCAGTACACCACAGATGTCATGACAGTCACCTGAACAAACGGCCACTTTAATTGACTTTCTTCCCTTTTGTTTTTTTAAAATACTGTAGTATTTTTAATAGAGACACTCTCCAAGATGCCAGCCTGCCATTTTGGCCTGCCTGAAGCAACCACTTTTCTCCTCTACGACATTCCCCCCACCACGGCAGTGCCACTGACTGAAGTGTCTTTAGGCCATTCCCAAAGGGGGGATATTAACGAGTTCTTATGCACAGGAGAATTAGAATTGTAAATGGGCTGATTTATCAATTTCATGCTCATACTGTGCCGGAGCAACATAGGGGGAACTGCTGCTTTTTCTTTCCTCATCCTTACTATTTCTGGGGGAGCCTTGATAGTCGAAGTAGACTTTGTGCTGTTGAGGCTAGAGAAGTGAGAAGAGTAAGCTGGTTTCCCCGTTTGGACTTCTGTGTTGACAGCAACCCCTTGGCGCTCAAATGACCTTAATTAAGCAGTTGTGAACGCCTTAAAAACCTTACTACCATTTCTCCCCTCCACAATAAATCACCATCTTGGACAAGAGCGACGCTAGAACTCATCATACCATTTCTTATAACTAATAATATAATTGAAACTTGTAAAGTCATTGACTTGGAAAAATTCAACAGTAGATTACAGACAAACCTCGTTGTACCCCCCCTC